GAGGATTATGGGCCTTTTTCTGACAAATCCTGGGTATGTCTCTCCAAATCCATAGGATGTTTGGAAAAGAGTGTTTTGCTTTTCTAACTCCTAGTATTGAAGTGGAGATGAGTTCCATTTGGGATTTTATTTAGCTTAATAATACTGTTAAAAGTAATATTCAAAATAATATCTCAAGTTTAGGTACCCCAACTCATATTTAAGTCCCAAAATAAACCTTGCCCTCTCTGAAATAGCCCCACATCCAATAAAGTCATTGGTGCTACAAAAAAGTAAAACTGAAGTTTTACTTAAAAAAAAAAAAAAAAAGGGATAGTTTTTCATTTACCTTTTAAATGGCATAGGCTGTTCCTCTGCGTAACACCCAGCTGACACGCAGGAGAAAAGCCTGCAATGCTTTGGTACAGATAGTGTATTAACCCCCTATTCATACTATCCATACATCTATATGCAATGGGAGCACAGAAAATATCTTTTCAGAGCGAGATTCCTGATTTTGAAATGTCTGCTTTTCTTGAAACAAAATAATACCAGCAAACAGGTGAGGAGTTTAGCAAAAATGAAATTCCAAGTAAAAAATTGCATTTTGAGCAAGTTAAAATGGTTAATTCCAATTTAGGCTGCTTCTGCTGCACACAAGACTAGGAAACTTTAAAACTTTGAAACACAGAATCATCTTGAAATAGGAAACGAAAATCCATGTTCCTTTTCAAAAATGTTAACTTCTGATGTCATTAGAATTCCTGGTCAGAACAAACTTTATTCAGTGGTCTCCCTTTACTGTATGGTGGTAAATTTAGACAAATGGCAGGTTTTCTGAAGAAAACAAGTTCAGCTGGAAAGTTTCTAACCGGTTGTACTGAGCTGCCTCTTATTTTCACTTTTTTTAGCAGATGAGCATTGGATATCTGTAAATTGGCCATCAGGACTTTCATGTACCGCGTGGCATTAACTCTAAGTGTTTTTTTCCTTACTATAGTTAAGGGTTAAATCCTGTTTTAAGGGGCCTTTCTTTCTCAGGGTTGTGAAAGTTCTCCCTGAGGGATTAGTAAGTCACAAAGGCTTTCGGGAGTGGATAGACGCGAGGGATGAGGGACGGCAGCAGCAATTGGTACCTTGGTATCAGCGGGAAGATAAGGTCCAGGAAAAGATAAAACATGTAAAAATATCTGACATAAAAGGATAACACAGGCTACAGAAGATGAAGGTGATTCCTTAGTGAAACAGATCTTGAAGCGTGAATCTGGTACCGAGGCATAGTATTTGGTATGGAGAGGAAATTAAATTTTACTTTTAAATTTTAAACCATGTATCTCTTAAAAAAAAGATTTACGGATAAGATGGATATTAACTTATATAAAACATGGTACTAGGCAGCTTTTTAAATGACAGAACTTTCATAGACCTGTATTTTAGTGTGCCATGTTGATGCAATGTATCAGAGGTTCTCAAATTATTTCACGGCACAGGTCATCTTTTAGAAGAAATAGCATCTCTTGGACCACTTTCCTTCTGAAAGAGTTTCCTATTCGCAACACCTCATTAGCAACCAAGCAGTGAGTGCGTGTGTTAACATGTGTATGTATGACACACAAACTAACGGTCACTGACAAAAGCAATAGACTGTATTCCCCCCATTACTAGAGGCATTTTCTTGCTGCTTGAGCACCTGGCTTCAGCTTTCCAGAACTTTTCCCTGCCACAGGGCTTTGGGCAACTTCTTACCCGTGAGGCATCATTCTCATGCTGGCGCTCTGCAGATGCCAGCTCCTGGACCGTGAGGCGCTTCAGGACTTGTGTGCTCGTCTCCATAATCGCTTAATGGCCGTTATGGCTCCTAGCTTGTGGCAGAGCAGCAGGTCTGACCAAGTTCCTGGTGGCTGAACAAGAGACTGAAGCCGTGGCTCAGGCATGGGCTCGCTGACGGTTGTCTAAAAGCAGAGGGATACTCTGTTCTCATTCCGTTTCAGACATGTAATTTAACACAGCAATTACTTACATATTTCTCTGAGTAATTAATTACTAACTGCTAAAGAATTACTGCATTACTGTATGCAGAAGTAATAAAACTACTTCAGGGTTTCAGGAAAATTCTTGAAGACAGCAATTATTATTAATTGTAGTCAAAATTATTTGTTATATTAATTACCAGTAATCTCTGCCTAGACGCTAATTAGACTTAAAGCAATTTTATAGTGGTACAATATAATTATGTCATTAATAACAAAAATAACAGATTGTTTTACTTTAAATTTGACATATTATATGTTTAAGGGCTTGCCAATTAAAGAACAAAGTGTGCACAAAGTTTTGGGTTAATTTGTCACACCAGGAGCGTAGTGAGGCAGATCTTAAAGCCAGAATCCACAGACCCTTTACAAGCATGTACAAATGTGAACTGAATTTTAGGTCTCAGTACATTCCGGTTTCGTTGCTCAGTGCATCACTCTTCGGCAGCTCCGAACCCTTGGGCAAATTCTACCCGGCCAAATACCTGGAGAACGGCTTCACCATCGATATTATCTGCCACAGATATTAAACTGAGTGATCAAATGAACAAAAGCATTTACTATTTCTTATTTGTAATTGACTATTGACTATTTTGTCTTATTTTTCTGCTAGCATAAATCTCAGTCAGGCCCATTTCAGCGTAACTGAAGCGCTAGCTTAGCAGTAAACCATCATTTGAGGAATCCCACTGAAGTCTATTTCTTTTGCCTTTGTTTTCCCTTTTATTTTGAATAAGGTCTAAATACATGCTTGAAAGTAAACACGTGCCCAAGGAGATTTCTCAATTTGAGCACAAGTTAGCAAGAAAATAGGTAATTTCAGAGCATAATCATAAAATATTATCTAGTGTTACAGCATGCTACTCTTTGAAACAAATAATGAAATGAGTTCTTCATTTTTAATAAAATGAAATCATATATCTTTCAAGGAAAAACATTTTGCTGGAAATTGTCAAATTTTTTTTTTGGTAACGAAACACATTTTCAAATCATGTACACTTGCAGCAGTAAAACCTTTTTCTGAGAAGTGCTTGCATATCGTTAAGTCACAGGCTAACCTTTGAATTGTTTTAGATTTTTTTAATTTTTTTTTTAGTCTACTGAAAATCATCACCAATCAGATAATTTTGTAAACACAAACAAAGCCACACTGGAGCTGGGAGATCTACAGATAAGATAGAATATAAACACTTAATTAAATTCCAGGAAGATTTCCCCCTGAGCAAAATCTTTCAAAGTATCTGAATTTCTATAATGTACTGTATGCTCTTCCTTTCCTACCTGTTTGCAAAAAAAAAAAAAAAAAAAAACCTCACATTTGGCTTAGCTCCTTCAAGTCATTCACTGTAGTAGCACTCATTAGAGGTTTAACCTACTTCTACTAGAATCTAAGGCAAAATTCTCATTCGTATAATCAGGAGTCTGAACATCACTTTCATTTCAGTATTGAAACAAAAAAGCCGCCCTGTAATTGTTTTCAGTCTTTAGGTAGTTTGTGGCTTATCAGTCTTCAGAGCGCGTAGCTCAGTTTGGTAAGTGATCGAGATTTTTACTGGAAAAAAATACCATTTGTTTTTTGATCTGTTTTAAAATTGTAATTCACATGGTAAAAAACGGAGTCAAGTTGCAGAGCATTTCAGGTTTCCATTTTTTTCCCCCTCATATTTGGTGCTAATGACAAACCCCTTTTTAATGAAGTTTTTAAATAAAAGCAAATCTCATGTGGCTTTTTATCATCTATTTATTTTAGATGAAAATTCTTACTGTCCTGGACTCTGAGTATTAAGCAAACCAAAAATGTCACATTAAAACTGTAGTTTTAATCCCAAGTCAATGGTTGCACCATAATTTATTGTAGTAAAATTACAGTAACAAATAGCAGTGATGATGTAACGCTATATTTCAACATGTTTTACAGCACCACAATGTTATTCTAGTGATTATACTGTAGTTGGAATAAATATTACTAAATTTGAGACAGATTTATTATGGTTTTAAACTTTGTTCTGTTCGGTCCAGGAAACAGAGGATTTACACGGTAACTCTGATTAACGTTAAGGGGCACTAATTGCTTATCCCCCGGCGCGCCCTGAGGAGCCTGTAGCCCTCTGCCTGCGGCCGCGTGGCGCGGCGGGGCCCTGCCGGTGGCCGGGGAAAGGGGAGCTGGGCCCTTTCGCAGGCGCTGCGCGCCCGGGGCAAGCTCTGCGCGGGGGGCATCAGCCTGTCGGCCCCTCGCTGCGGAAGCCGAGACCTGGGGGTCTACAGGGCCTACACACAGGACCTGAGGTGCCGAATGACCTCGTTTTGCCACGTGGGCAGAGAGGGACAGGCTACGGTCTGGCTCCTCAGTAAATTCTGTTACTGCCTTTCCTGCAGAAACAGTTTCAGGTTAGGGACAGGGAGACTGTTACCTGTGAAATCTGAACGGCTGTTGGAAAAAAATTCAAACCATACTTTTTTGGTGAGGTGATGTGCTGAACTGCAAGGACACCACGCAATGTCCTATTGACTGATCACTGCTTTCCTCGCTTCTGACAATGACTGAAACCACTCTAGGATTTTGAGGAAAAGCATTTATAATGTTTTCAGCTATCTCTAGAGCAGCAGAGAAAACATCAAACTCTAAAGAGAATCTCTTTACGTATCCTGAGCTCAGTCCCACGGACTCATATGGCTCTGGCTGGCAGTGTCCTGAGGCTTCCAATACACATCTGAATTTCTGATTTGCTTGTCAGTATTTATAGTGAAGAAATGCCTAAATCTTGCTTTCACTTATACCAGTACCACTGAGTTCAATGAGCTTGCACTGGAACGGCTGATCTTTATTTGCCGCGTGCATTACCGTACCATTGCCTCACAGAAATGGCTGTAGCTGGTCCTATGTTCGCTTGCCTTTATTGCCGTTATAAAATCAATGTTTAACTTCTGTTTCTACGTTTACATCTTTTATCATTTGTGACTGTCTCAGAAAATAATCTCTCTTTTAAACAGAGCCCACTGCAAGCTGGATCTCTGACTGGACAGCGCATCCTTTACCTTGTGCACAGGTCAGCATCGCTCAGAGAAGGCGGCTGATGGAGACGCCGGCTAGCACCTGGGCGATGTTTCTCCATTTGGCGTTAAATGTTCCAGTGTTTTACAGCATTTTGGGGCAACAGAAAGGGGAAAAGCGAAGGAAAGAGTTTCAGTTTTTTCAATGTGGAACCTGCTTTGCTGCAATTTTCAGAGAGACCTGTTCTGAAGCGCAGGTAATTGAGCATAATGAAAAAAATGCGTTAATGAAAGTAATTGACAAAAGCCAGTCCACCTGTCAAAGAAGAGAAATCTTGAAAAGAAACGGCAGCCTTTTGAAGGTCAAGGCTCAGTGTGGTGTAATCCCTACCATCTGTGTTCAGGCTGGTGCTATTCTCAGACTGTCATATGTACTCTCTTCTTTGAAAATAATAGACACGGGAAAAAAAAGCTTACTCAACAGGGAGCTTAAGTGTAGTTAGGTTTATAGAAAATGAAAAAGCACCACTGTATAAACTTAAGATGACCCTTAATTTTCCTTCCCCTTGACCTACACACATCTACTTTCAAAACTTTAGTGGCACAGGGAATGAAAATAATTCAGTGACCAATACAGTGTAAAGGTACAGCAGCAAGCTGGAATAGTTGGCAACCACACCCAGTGCAATCAGTATTGATTTCCTTTTGAAAGGAGAGTGATTCTAGTCCTGAACCTACACAAAGATGTGGGTGGGCTATTGTGTCCACTCCAGAACTGCAATCCTCAGAAGACCTGCTGGACTGCCACCCATGGGCAGCACCTCCCTTTTGGGTGTTCAAGATGCCCTGCTCCCTAAAGCTGTGCTTCTGGTCATTTTCAGACAGTACCAAGAAGCTTGATGCTTGCAATTTCTTCTCAGGTTGTATGGGCTTCAATGGCTGGGCACACATTCACGTGCCTGATTTGCTGAGCTTGATTTGAGAGATGTTCTCATAAAAAGCCCATTGGATCGCAGTCCATGAGTGTGGCTGGAGCCACGTTATCCAGCATCCTCATCGTTACACAAGGCACTCAGACTGGGGAAAGCTGGGCTCAGTGCCCTGTGTCTTCTGAATGCTAACCACCAGGCCACAGAGCAAGGATCCTCCTCAGTGCTTACTTTTGCATATTCCTTGGACATCTTAGCAGGTATGAATGAGAGTCTTCCTCCCCAGAAAATACTATATTTTGCTGATCAGGCTGCTTTTGTGTGGTCTGGAGTTCAAATCCCTCAGGCAGAGGAGGAAATTGAATTCATGTTTCCCACACTCTGACAGGATACATTAATCACGGAGTTGTTATATTAAACAAGGGCATTAGCTCCTCCAAGGCACTTGTGCTGTGAAAGAAAAAGTTTAGGTATATAACTCCAGAGGTTGTCACTGGAATGGGAATACCAAGTGAAAGAAGATGTCTTCCCAGCATCCAAACACCTAAAGCCTGATGAGGGGCAACATTTAAGATACAAGTGTGTTCCTGGTATAGCGTGTCAAAAGTAAAGGCGGCTGCACAATCACTTCTGTGTTTTCTATTCTTCTGCTTTCAGACATCCACATGCATCACACAGGGAGCCTGTTCCGGATGTTGTTCATTCCATAAGGTCGGGTATTTGCCATTTTAGTGCTCCAGCGTTTGGTCTCCCAAAGTCCCTTTAGGTCCCTTTGCTGCTCAAGCCCCAAGGTGATTTACATCTCTCAGAAAGGAGACTCAAGAATCTGAAAGTTTTTAAATGCATTACAAAATACATTGGAAGCAGGGAGTCAGTAAAATGCCATCCTCTTAAAGCTTTTTGTTTTAGATAGCTTGACATTTTTTATGGAAAACGTTTATCCATTAAAATAATGATAAAGCAATTTTTTTAATAAGTTCTTTACTCCAGAGTGTTAAAACTATGAAACTACAAAGCAAGAGAACTTGCAGAAATCATGCTGCATACACTCTGTGGGAAATGGTACATATAAAAAGCTTGTTATTTCTATCTCTAAGTGATAAAAACTAAGATGGTACATCAAAACAGCAGGTACAAATTATATGTATACATTATATATATTACCTGCTCTTAACAAAAATTACTTTAAAATATCTGCCTCCATGCACAAAACCAGAACACACCACATAAAACATCTCTCTGTTAAGTGCAGATTCCTGGGAAAACAACTCCAATAAAAAAAAAGCATAAAAAAATAATAGCACGCCACAAATGCCTAATTAAAAAAGGTTCTCCACCTCTTTGGAAGAAATACATTTTATTTGCCCTCATTAAGGTGACCTAACCACTGTGCTTCACCCTGCCCTGCCTGAATGATGTAATCAGCCCAACTCATGAAAATAAAATACTAGAGCAAAAGAATCATGTTCTCTTTCTCTGAGCTGTAACTGCCTATTTTTCTAGATACATAATCGCATTCAAGCATATACTTTAACTAATGACTCAAAAGACAGGCTGCTGACACTATATGGTCTGTCAAAGATCAGGTGTAACTCTAGAAATGGAGAAATTCAGAACTGGATCTAAACTGAAAAGTTCCAGAGAACTGGATCTAAACTGAATCTTTACTTAAACCTTTTGTTTGTTATTCACACTCACTCAAAACAAGCATTTATCTAGCTATTTTTTGAGCTATGACCTGAAGATGCACCTTCTGTTAATGGAATAAGATGCTAGCGAAACCTCTTGCTCAATGCAAGGAGGTAATCCTGCCTCCTTTTTACGGTAACTACTTTTTGCTGTTCATTCCTTTTCTTTACCTTTTTCACCATGTGTGCACATCTCATCATGTGATTTATTTGTTTTGTGTTTTGAAGCCATACATGCCAGTCAGGAGAAAATTAGGGAATTTAGAAGCTGCATTAACAGGCAGGAACACATCTGAAGCACAGTTCAGAGCTGCTCCTGTGGCCACCCTGGAGGACCTCATTTCCAAGGTCTTTCCAAGGTGATGTGCTAGGACACACCACCTTTGACAAACTTAGAACAAAAAACAAGGAGTGCCAATACTTCAAAGAATGCTATTTGCTTTAGTACAGTAAAAGACTACGGTTCCCACTGAACAAAAAGTTTTGAGAAAAAGCACGACAAAACCTGGAATAGATTGAAATCTCTTTACTCTTATTAATCTAAGTAATGTAAAAGAATTAAAACTTATATAAAAAAAAGAAAAAAATATTCTTTCTAATGAATTTATGTATGTGGAGGCTTACTTTTTTCCTCTGCCTGTCCTGTACTTTGAATGTTAAACTTGATAAGAAGAAAACCAAAATAAATAAGAAAAAAATTAAAAAGTAAAATTGAAATCTAAAGCTGAGCAAAAGGAAATGCAATGAAGCCTGGGTAATTTGATGCTGTTGTGTTCAGTGGTGAAAAGATAGAAGAAAGCAGGACAAAGAGAGAGAGAGAAAAGAAAGGAAATAAAACTTAACATCTAATAAAATTATTATGAAAATGCATAAAAATATTTTTATATTATAGACTGTCAAAAAAATCATTTTGAACTTTCCAGACTTTGATGTTTTATGTACTGTCTTGCTAATCTTATGGGGCACCTGAAAAAATAAAGTGTGACAGAAGGAAAGAAGTTCACAGGGGCACTGCGTCTATCCAGAAAGAGTTTAAAAAGTCAGATTATAATGTAGGCTACTAACGCAACAAAGATTTTCATTTCTGATAAACCTAGTCATCTTTTAGGAATAAACATCAGACATTGACTGGTAACAGCATTCTCAGCTTGCAATTCTAAGCAGTTTATGGCAACAAAGCTTTTTTTTTTCCAAACAAATATTTTATTTTCTTTTTATTCCCAGGGAAATTTTTTTTCCTACGATAACAGTCAGTTCCAGTCAACATGCAGTAAGCGCAAAATTTTTACATTACAACATTATTGATAGGCTGCTATTGTTACCCCTATAATTTAATTAACTTTGCAGGAAAGAGAAAGAGAGGCTTTTTTCCCCCCTCTTTCATGTTTTGAAATAAAAAGTTTTACAAAATGAGCTGGCATCTCAAGGGGCAAAGATCACGCTATACAATGTGCCCGGTGCAGGAGATGTTCTGAAGTATCACATCCACGTTTCAATTTGTCACTGTTGCTTTGGCTCGCAAGTCCCCTTGGCTTTTTTGTTTGTTTGTTTGTTTGTTTGTTTTAAAGCCACCGGAGAGCAGGCAGGAGCCGCGAGACAAGGCCCTTGCTGGGCACGGACGCGTGGGCCTGCGCTCGGCTGACAAGGCAGCAGTGGGTATCTTTCATTCAGCACATCTCTCTGCATTGCACAAAAAAACGCCTGGGGAGCCTCAGTAATGAATACATCAACTTTTACCCTGCTCTGTAAAAACAGTTATAAGGAAATCATTTCTATGCTGCAGAGGGGGTACAGGGGCTAAAAAGAAAACACAACGCTTGCCAGAAAAATAAATGCCCTGCTCCCTCACAGAGATGAGGGAGAAAGATAAAGTGTCCTGTTCATGCTGCATCATCTGTGTGTAAATAGCCTATATACCCTTCCTCGTCTGACCAGGGAGGGCAAACATCCACACAGGTACTTACAATTTGTATTCTTCCATAGTACATTGCTCACTATTTGGGGGGAAACAGATTCGGGAAGCTCTTTCACTAAAAAAGAAAAGTCAGGAGAAATGAATGAGTAAAAACTTGACATGAGATGTGTTACCAGGCAAATAAAACAGTAACAGCTATAAGCTTATTTATAAAACATAGCATAAACAAATAGATGATATTGTGGGAAATTTGAGCTGGAAATGGCTCTTAACTTTTTTTTATTATTATGTAAACAGGTCAACAGAGGAGATCCAGTATGAAAAAGGGGAGACAGAGAGGGAGAAGGAGAGGGGATCAAACCTCCCCAAGGTGCGGCAGGTTCTGGTATTCAGAGCTTTATCGATCTGGCCAAAATACGTGCTGAGCTCTATAAGGCCCATAAGAGGCTTCCCGACTTCTCTGTACATACTGCGCATTATCCATTTCACCACCTGTACAGAGTGGAAAACCAAAGCTTGGCCTGGTCCCCAAAAAGGCTAGCAAGCCTTCTGCATCCATTATAGCAAGGAGCACCTGCTGCTCCCAGAAGAGCCCAGATTTGGAGCAACGCTTCCTGCCTAGGGGCAGGCTGCGGCCCCTGCCTTGCTCACACATTGGCAGCACTCTGCTATCCTTTGCCAGAGGAAATTTCAGGGTGCCGGTTAAACCACTGCAAGTTTTGAGCTGCACGCTGCTGTTCTCACAGTTTGCAGGAACTGGGAATGAGTGTTGTTGAGATAGTTAAGTGCAGTCATTACGAGAGGAATTAGGTGCTTTTAACTCTCTGGATTTTCAGGCTCCTCTGTTCAAGACCAACTCTCAACCAGCTATAAAGGTGAACGAAAGAACAACAATAACCACACAGCCCATGATTTAAATCTTGATTGAAAAACCTTTCTGAATTAATTTCATCACTTAGAATCTGTACACAAACACGTGCAACAGAACCAGCCGAAGCGTCTGCGGTGGGAGATCATGCATCCCGGAAGCTAGGCTGGATGGGCTATTCCATTGTATATATTTATGGATCCGAGTGGAACCCTCAGGGTAAACGTGAACGAAGAATAGACTGTTTTTTCCTAAAGCATCTGGGTGTAAGCCTTATTTCGCCAGCAACCGTGGTGTTTATGGGCATGTTTTACTGGAAACCTGCTGCTTCTCACAACGTTTCCTGAGTGACTGTCTTAGTAAAACTGCATCTGGAAATGACAAGCACACAGCTGTAAATCTGAAAAGCAGTGTGCAGCCCTAATAGCTAGCAGCCTTGAAAAGATTTACAAAGACAAAAGTAGAGCAATGAATACGTTTCTGAGCGTCTGTGATCACATTACACCTCTTCCTCTTCAAAGATTTTTTGTAGCCCTAGAAAAAGATATCATTGCTCTTTCAGTTAATGCCTTAGGCAGATAACCATGTTCGGTTACCTGCCAGAGCACCCAAAATTTCTGCCCTGTACCTACTTTCCAAAACAATGGTCAGTAGGGCAATACATTCCCCTCCTCATTTTTTTTCCCACCTGAATTAGACCCCTTGACAAGAGGGAGGCCATGAAATGAGTCACAAGAGGGAGGGGAGCAGGGAAAGATGAAGAAGATTTGTCCTTGTCATTGTCAAGTCCCCTAAGCAGTAAAGTCCCGAATCTGCTCTGGATGCCAAATCTGACGAAGTCTCAAAGTGTGATCGCATGGAAACGGTCACAGGAGGGGAGCGTGTGGTCACAACGGGTGCACCTTGCAATAGTGCTGACCAACTGGGATGAAGTATCCGTTAGGCTAGTTAGCACCAATAAGCATTGGAGCCAAGGATTTGAAATATAAACAACATGGTAAATTGCCCAACACGGCCAATATACCTGCTAGCTTCAACATAAAAAAGCTGGGAAATAAATTATTCATGGATGTCCTGGAGGGCCTCCAAGCACCAAAGCAGCAGGGGAGCAGCAGTCCATATGGGCCCTGCCTGATGCCCAAATGAATACAGGCAAGGTTCAGTGGCAAAGTAATATGCTGTCCACCTTCTGTTTGTCCACCTTCTTGATCAGCGAATGTGTCTCCAGGACCCTCTCCTTCCTAGTTATAACCTTGAGACTACCTATAGATTTTAAAATGACAATTACTGGGGTTTGGAAAGAGTCAGCAGCTACCTGCCCCCCAAGGTCCCTATCAGGATTAAATCCACTTTTGCTATTAGTTGGCACAAAGTAGCTGGATAGAGATGTGCGCTTCTGTCTCTCTACAGTGCCATTCCTTTGCTCTGGCCATCAGTTAAACAGCGATGATAATGCTACTCGCTCAGCTTGTTTGAAGATTAAATTAGCTGCTATTAGTTCAGCTCTTTGAAGATGTACCCAAAGTGCTAAGTGCTAAGTATTATTAGATGAATGTTAGTCATTAAACCCTAGAGAAATCTGGCTGCATTGTATTATTGCTCTAGCCACGAGAAGCCTTGGCTGCTCGTCCACTTGAACGTGCCTGCCTCTGCGTCCTTTTCTGCTCAATGCTGCTGGAGTGCTGAAGGCTACAAATTTCTGCCCTTAAACTGAGCATCCCCTAAGCATGTAAAGGATCGGTCTGCAAACTGGCTCTTAAGTGCAGTTTTTGTTCTTCACAATTAAGAAAAGCTTTTTATTTTCCAAGCCCTATCTAAAAAAAAAAAAAAGTCTCCTTTCTAACTGAGCTGAAACAGATCATTTGCATGATTTATCAAACTGAAGTTTGCTTCAAAAAAAAAAAAAGCTTTCAATCTGTCTTTCAAATTTAAAGACAAACAGGCAGCCAGATTTTCCATGGAGTTACTCCAGATTGGAAAGGGTGTAGCTGAGATAAGATTTAGATCCTTTCTAAAAGCCCTCTAGTGGTAGTTCCCGTTATACTATTTACTGAGATAGGAAATTACAACTACTTTACTTAGGATGTTTGGCAGGAACTTAGATGCATCTGTCTTTAAAAGGAGGGAGAGGAAACAGAGAAACTGTTAGCAGTAAGGTCTCTGTCCTTCTGCATAGAAATAAATGTGATGTAAGTGCACAGTGCAATAGAAACTCCAAACGCCTAACCAGTCCCTCACGAAAGGCAGCGGCTGCCGCTCTTCTTATCCAGTGACAACGTCCTGTCCAGGAACTTATCACTGTTACGTGCTGGGTTAGCTTGAGGAAAATTAGGGCTGACCCAGCTCTCTTACCTCTAGGGT